ACCCCCCACCCCCCGCTCACCCCTTTTGATGGCATTTTATTGTATTTGCACATACACCCACACACCTCCCCTCTCTTTCGAAAACGGAAGTCCGATATTCTCAACAGTCGACAGATATCAGAAGGTAGATCTAGGGCCTAGATTCTAGATCTAGCCTAATGGCGGATTCCACACGAAACGAATTTGTCCTCGGCAAAAATAGACCTATCTGTCATACTCTCTAAGCCACATTTCTGTGATGACGCAAACAGCAACTTTTGTGCACTTTTCTGAAGGACGCTGCCAATGGCGAAAAAATACAAGGTAAGTTTCTCTATACGAATTCTCAAATCAGACTTCATCGGCATTCTTTAGATTGCGTTCCAAAACCGTTAGATCTACGCTGATTTTTCTGAGAGGTCCTTACTTTTGAACTGTATGTAAAGCGTGAAATCTCGTGATGTACGAACAGTTTGAATCGCGGGATAAAGGAGGCAATATGTCCAACACTGGGCAGATGTAGATCTAGGAGATCTTGAAGTCGATCTGTGCAATCGAACTCACTGACCTTATGATGAATACTTTTGTTGTTTGTCATGTTTCGTTTTTGTTATTTGTGAGGCAGCGTGGTGGAATCAGGCTCTCGTCAAAATAATGAAATCGAAGAAAACAGCAGTTTTCTCCCTGTTTATCAAATTTTTGTTTTTTGGCTCAACACCGTTTGTGTCCATTTACAAACACATTCCTTTAAGGATTTCACCGAAAACGTTGGTTAAAGCACAAAATTATAAATTTACAGTTTCCATGGACTCTCCAGCTTTGAAATTTTCCAAACTTTGGCGTCCATTTTCTCGTTAATTTTACCTCTTAAATCAGGTGACCCCACCTCCTTCAATCCAAAATATCTCCACTTCTATTGAAGATAGATGGGTAATTTTTTCATTGAAAACAAGACAAGTGAACAAGCTTTAAGATGATACCAATAACTCTAGATCTATATGCCCAAAAATTGACGAGAGCCTGATTCCACCACGCTGCCTCATATTTTGTTAATGGCAACGGTTTACCTCCCGCTTTTTTATTGACCTTCCTGTGTGTGTAAGGGGATTGAACCCATCCATACCATGCCAAACCTGCTTATCATTCTTACCTTCCACACAATTCAGTGACCTTTCTTTCCAAATTAAAATACAATCTTCGACCTATGGATGCCGTTGCTTCGTGCTTACACCCATGGCATTTTACAATGTTATATTTAGATCCAGAAATCTAGATCTAGATTTAGATCTAATCAATGAAATAAGGTTTCAAGAAAATAGAGATGGAATGTCTTACCATATGTTTTACTTTTGTCTCTTGTCTCGCCTGTTACATGGTTATACTGTTGTTAGTGGGTGGTTGGTGGGTGCTCGGGTGTGGTTTGCTTCTTCTTTCCTATCAAACATGTATCGTCCTTATCTCTCCTTCTTCTTTTTTTATGTTTGTTACTCTCTTGTAACACCTCTAATCTTCTGGCGTGCATATGACATTATGCAGTTGCGAGCGCCGTAAAACCTCTACTAAAACTAAATCTAATATTGTTGTTTTTATCTATTGTTTCTCTGACCCCTCTTTTCTCTTTTCTTCTTTTCCCGGGCCTGTCTCTTCCTCTGCATCCATCTGATCCTTGGCTGTGTGCTTTAGCCGCCATACCGTCTTGTGGTAGTCGTGACAGATTCTCTAACCATTCTATGCTTTGTTTAAGTGTGGACCCCAAGTGGGGAGTCACTTCAATTTCTTTTCTGACGTTCGTTTCTCCTCGCATATTTTGTCATGGTCAAAGTTTGCTTAGACATCTCAATTCACGGGTACTTCTCGACAAAACTGACACACTAGTTTTATTGTACTTTTTGTGAAGATTTCTTCAGACTAGATCTAGTTTTGGGACTGGGTGGTTGGCGGGTGCTGTGATGTGGTTTTCTCCTTCTTTCCTACAAAACATCTATCGTCCTGATCTCTCCTCCTTCTTTTTTGTGTTTATTAATCTCTTGTAATAAATCTCGTCTTCGGCACTTGTCTTATATGACCTTATTGTGTTGCAAGTGCCGTAAAACTCTTACTAAAATTAAACTAAGCTATGGGAGCTCCAAGAACAATAAAAAAAAAATCAAATATGGATGGTTAGGTCC